TTGTACCACAACATGAATGCATTTCTACATATTTATCAACAGCTTATTACTTATACTACCAGTGAGATCTCATTGTTATCACGATGTGTATCATCTCAACACCTTCAAGAGACGCCACATTTACCACAGGTGAACTTTTGGTTGCCACTGGACATGACGGAAAACTGAAACTGAGAGCTGTAACGCTGCCAACACACGTCATTCTTTAGCATTGGTGACCTTCTGCTTGCCTTTGAACATGAAGTTCCAATACCGACGCCTGGCGTCGTGACGTCAACATAAAACACACAAGATCCTTGGAATGCTATCATACACGACGTTTTAAAAACGACGCCGAACGTCGCGACACCAGTCGCCGCGATTCTGCGAAAAAACGCAATATTTAGCATTGGTGAGGTTTGGGATGCCTTGGAATACTTTAACACGAACTATGAAAGACGACGCCGAACGTCGAGACGTTCTCACGATGCCGTCGAACACGGTGGAAAACCGACGCCAAGCGTCGCGACACCAAACCTCGTCACAACATGAAAAGACGACATATTTAGAGCAGGTGATCCTCAGGATGCCAAGCGTTGCGAAGGCTAATGCTGGACTCTGACTCCGAAATTTAAATGAAGTCAATAGAAGCCTTTGAACAACTTGTGACCAACTGATGCTGAACGACATGACGCATCTAGCAAATATGAGCCTCGGGAACCAACGCTGAATGCATCAACTGTTACTGTCGCATGCCAAGTACCGAAATGTTGATGATTTTTGAGATACATAACCAAACCAAAACAAACCAACCAATCACCCATAGCCCCTAGAGAAAAATTGTATTAATTTTTATTATGAATTACAGAAATGCTTAATTCTATTTAGTGGAATTCTCAGTATGACAGATTTCTTAATTTATCATTTATTGTTTTCTTCTTTGTCCATATTTTGTTACATATACAAAAATTAATTAAACATTGAAAGAAAAGGATTTATTCTGACAACTTGGTGTGAAATTTGTTTTCATTGACTGGCGCTCTAATATTTATTTACTTTATTGCTATCTAAATTGTGCGTCATTGCTGTTATAGTACATATAATATTACATTGTTAGTTTTACATGTAGTTTTTTGGTTTCCATTATATTTATTTATCATTCTTTATGCTTTCATCCATTATCTTTTATTTCCCCCCTTTTCTGGCTCGTATTTACAGGTTCTCACATTACAGATGAGGAAATTAAACTGTCCGAGGATAAGTTCGCAGAATCTCTGCATCTTGCTCAGATGGGGATGTTCAACTTGCTGGAGAATGATGTGAGTTGGAAAGCAACTCTGTTTTCTCACTCCATTATGATGATTTTGTACACTCTAAGGAATGAGTTTATTGATGGTACAATATATGTTTGCTGACGTATATTATATATGCCATCTTGATCTGTCAGTTTAAATTTGGTCCTCTTATGAGTGTTTTACTGTTTATGAAGTACCATTTGTATGGTATCTTGGAATGTTGCCTTTGGTATTTGCAGACTTTTTTTTATATATACATGTTACTTTTACTCTTACAGTCTGTTAATACCATGCATCTTCCTTTTAACAGGTAGGTAGGTACGTGTTTTCTGTAGTAGTAGAACGAGTATAGAATAATTCTTAGCACTCGAAAGTGTTCTTTATATTCTGGAGATGTATTGCTTGGCACCATAATTTTGCTGTTTTTGCTCATTAGGTGGAGCAGATTTCTCAGCTGGCGACATTTGCTGAGGGCCTCCTGGATTACCACCAGCAATGCACAGAAATCCTTAAAAGCTTGACTGAAATAATGTTGGAAAAGTGAGTTTAACTTGTTTCTTTATCAGACAACAAACAGTGATGTGGTTTATACACATAATGGCCTCCTGGCAAATGCCTTGGAAGTTTCCTTTGCTAGGGGTGATGTGACATGAGGCTGGCTGTGCCACTGTAGTGGGAGAGGGTAGTTTGTGACAGTATGAATATACCACTGGTTACAAAGGTCCTCTGACATAATAATACAGGTTGTGTAGATGGCAGTGATGTGTGTGTGTGTACATACATGTGTACAATTTACTCTTCCTTAGTTTATCATGCAATGTGAACAAGAATCATGTTATATATCCACTGGAGTTCATAAACATTCAGCTTCTGTGTCATCCTTTTTCCTAGATCATCGTTGAATTGTTCCTAAATAGGTTGTGACCCACAGGAAAACAAAATGTTATATTTTCAAATTGTTGTTGACAACATGCTACCCTTTTTATGCATTTCTTTGTTGATGTAAGAAATTAACACTTCCTTTTCACATTTTTGTGGCAGTTTAATATGGTTTATTGACAGGTTAATAAGTATAGTCATTAGCCTCTTGACTTTGTTGGGTATATACATTTATATCATGGCCACATTTTTCAAAATCCAGTTTTGTTACTTTTCATTTAATTCTTTTCCCAGTCTTAATTTTAGTTGATTACAAGATCACGTATTAATTTTCATAACCTCTTTTTTATATCCTGTCCCACTTTATTACAAACAGTTTGGGGACCTGGTGGTTTCAGGATCAAATTCTGGACCCTTATTCAGAAGGTTATGGATTTGTTTCCAGTCAGATTTATGTGCTGTTCTTCTTTGTACTTGCAGACATAAGCCTTCACTTCTGCCAAAGAAATCTCACCATTAATTTTCCACATATATTATTATTTATAACATATTTTCATGTTAATCATATCAAACATAAAATTATGTTGGTAAATTAATTTCCAATCACCAATTACTGTTTTTCCAAGGTAATGGAAAACAGAAGCAGTAAAAGGAAACATGGAAAGAGAACAATATTGATCCTTATGTAAATCAAGGTACATTGATTGTAATGGGTTAAGACTATTAAGTATCTGGTGATGTCATGAATTGTCTATGATAATCTATCCTACCCTCTGCTGACTCTAGGCAAGTCTAGAATCTATTTCTGAGGTAGAGGCACTCACAAGACAAAATACTTTAACCTGAATGACCTTGTGTTTAAATATGATGATTGGCAGATACAACCTACAGTTTAACATTTGTTTCGAACCATACGACTCTAAAACTAAGAAGTTTGGTATAAACTCATTTCAAGTGTAAGAACATTTTAAGTTTATAAGAAAAAAAATCAAAATGAAAGTACCACATGCAGTCAGAAACTTGGAATGATATTCATGTCCAAGAAGAATTGACAATGTTCCTAACCTGTCTCTGAATACACCTGCATTATTGACATGAAATATTTATTTGCTTTTTTTCACAGGAAGGATGAAGCAGCAAGCAGACCCAAGGCAGAATTTATTCCCAAGACATTGGCAGACCTACATGTGGAAGGCATCTCAGATGGTTTGAATGGTGCGCCACCCCTCCCACCCCCCAGTACGGGTCAGTACGGCAGAGCACGGTGGCATGCTTCTCAATATAATTGCATGCATGCCTCTCTGAAAACAGGTGATAGTTACCCTATTAACAATACAGTGCCATGGTGTGATGGATCGACATCCTGTGTCATCATAGTCACACGTTTCCTTTGTTTGGTGTTCTGTAGATGTCTTGTCCCTTCTAAAGGTTGTGGCTTGTTCAGTGTTTACTTTTTCCAAGAATGATTGTTTTTCTCCCACCCTTCACTATTGTCTTGAGTCTTTAAATTGTAATTCTTTCATACTTTACACATAAATATAAAATTGGTGAAACATCATAAAACAATGATGACTCTCCACAGACATTAATTGAAACAAGCGCTCTGCCATACTGACATTTTCATCTTTATCTAAGTACAAGGTCTGATCAAAAAATCTCGTGACTGAATTCATATTAAAGTAAATTAAACTTTGCAGGGGCATAGACATGAAGAATGAATCCTGACTTGTAATAGCATCTGGGGTATGAGGTTCTCATGTCAGTGAAGATGTAGATCTTTGTGTATGTTATGGCAGAATGTGGTTTTTAGGTGGCAGAGGAATTTATTACTTCTGTCTTTGGGGTGGCATGATGCTTCTCTGAAACATTAGTAACAACCTGCGATACTACACATTTTGAAAACCATTAGATTACGATCAGCACATCCGGGTATGTTTACAGCTCATTCTATTGCATCAGTCATTCATGGCTAACATTTGTATTGAGAGTATTTTTGTGATGTGTTAACCTAAAATATGTGATATGTGTGCAATACATTCTGCAAGAAGATCAGAAACATGGCAACCAAAACATCAATTTTTTTAAATAGCATGTGGAAATGCAACAGTGCATGAATGTTTGAGTGATTTCATCATTTTAAAGAATGATGATATCCATTGAAAGTTGTTAACTCCTTGAAACGAGCATAAATGATGAATGAATAGCTCAGGTGTATGATTTAGTGCAAAATAACAGGACACTTATTATTACATGGAATGACTTAAGAGATAGGACTTGATCTGGTTATTTTAACCAATGTTTTGGTATTGAGATGTGTCCTAGCAGAGTTAGTTCTGTGACTCAAGACACAGAATGATAAAGAAAATTGCATGGATGTGCAGAAATATTTGAACTTCAAGTAATGTAACAGGTGATGAAATGTGGATGTATGATTATGACTCTGAAAATATTTGTCATCATATTAAAAATGTCCATATCTGAAAGAAGTGCATTGAAAAACCAGCATCCTACTGTTTTTAGTTTTTGACTGTGAGGGTATTCTGCACTACAAGTATGCTCTACAGAGGAAAGCTAACCAGCATTTGTACTTAGAAGAGTTGAGAAGTCTCCATCATGACCTTAGAGTGGGAAATTAATGGGTAGTAAATTCGGTATAACAAAAACCTGCCTATTCATCCCAGCTTGTGTGGAAATTTTTAGCTAAACAATCTTCAGTGAAAGGTCACCCCCGGTGGACTAGTGGTTAGTGTGCTCGCTACTGGACCCAAGGTTTGTGGGTTCAAACCTGGCCGAGGTCGATGGATTTTTAAGGGTGATAAAAATCTGTAGCACAACTTCCTTCAGAGGGGAAGTAAAGCCAGCGGTCCAATGTCATAGATTTACGGCATGTAAAAGAACCTTATAAGCATGAACGAGGTGTTTTGTAAGCAAAATTCAGCGGCCATTTCTCACACAAGTCTCTCCTGATTCACTACTAGATGGCTCTAGCAGACAAATCAGTATTGTAGAAATGGTGCAGAGGCAGTGGGCTTGTAACTCACTACTCATAAATGAACACTTCAAAGACAACAAAAAAACTCCCACATGGGAGGAGGCCAAGGCTCGATTTGGGTTGTTACACAATAGAATAAAAAGTCTTCAGTGAAAGAACATCCTTGATCATTTGACTGGAATGCAACAGAAAAGCTGATGATGGTTCTAAAACTTGAGTTTGAGAAGCACACTCAGCATTTGGAGAAACAGTGGAGCAAGTGCATGGTGATTTTTGTCCTTAGGTTTCTGCAGCCAGAATCTGATATATAAGTTATATTTATATATATATATATATATATATAACCACGTTGTGTATTAAAAGTGTTCCATTATTTTTTGCATACATTGCATTTTCCAACTTCATGATAAATGTATGGGTAAAGTAATGGGAGCCATTTTATAAGCCAAGTAAAAGGAGATGATTGACATACAAGGGCAAACATTTGCCTCCTTCCTCTCCTGCTTCCTCTTCCACACCATCTTTCTTCTCAGCCACAAGGTGTTCCCTAATAGCCAGGATAGCTCAATCAGTATAGTGACTAGCTATGGGCTAGACTGGGGTTTGATCCCCGACGGAGACAGAGGATTTTTCCTCTAGCCTCTGCATCCAGACTGGGGCCCACTCAGCCTCCTATCCAATGGGTACCAGGGCTAAAGCGAGGCCGGTTCATGATGCTGACCACTCACCCCCATCTAGTGGCGAGGTCAAGAATGAGTAGGAGTTTTACCTCCTTTCTCCTCAAGCAACCTATATGGCCTTTAGCAGGACTGCTTTACATTCCCTATTAAACAGCCAACTGCTTCCCTGTCCACACAGTCATGTTCACTGTCAAACCCATATACTACCTTCTTTCCCTTTCCCTTACATTGCCCTGAAGATGGCAACTACAGCATTTTTTCGTTAAATGCTGGAACACCTTCAATGCAGCATGGCTACACCAAGAGTCAAAGTTATTTGTGTGTGTGTGTGAAGGAGCTCAGTTTATAGGGTATCAATCTCTAATTGTTGTTAGTACCATATTTGAATTTTCAAAGATTCAGTCTCGATAATTTTTGACTGGGCCTCAGACATGTTTATGCAATCATTAGTATATGTTACATTGCCATTTCATGTGAGATTGCAGCATATGCTCTGTATTGTGTTGTGGATTTAGCGTTAGTATAGAGCTCATAGTGAATTATGGGAATGGTTTGGCTGTTAAAATATTAATATTCAGATTTGAGCAACTAAAGGACTAGTTAAGTACAATTTTTTTCAACATGCAAAGTGTAAACATGATGTTCTAATAATGTAATTTTAAAACATTACAGTACTAACATTTTATTCTTGACACTGTCATTCACATTTATAATAATCATGACTTTACTTTCCAACCTATTCTTCCAGTACAATATGAAATGGAATTTGCAAGTTCAATTATAATCATACATAAAATCGGTAATGATTCTCTGAAGTTTTATGTTGGTGGTTGATTAATTATACAAAAACATTGTACTGGACTTTGCCTATTGACAACCAGTTGCCAGAATGTTGGAGTAGATTCAACTCCTGAATTGTCATGTGTATCAAACAATGGACAGTGAATAGCTGATATAATATTCTTACCATTAAAGTAATATGCTGTCTTTACACATGCACACACATACCGTAATCTACTTAATGCATTTTAAAATAAGTTTTTACTACAGGTCTTTTATCAGAGTGGAAGGAAGAGGGTAAGAGAAAATATATTTCCTCTTGTTTAGAGAAGTTGGGGAGGATCATTTGTTTTGAAAATATATTCAAGATAATGTGACTAATTTCGTAAAGATGGGATCTATAAGGCAGAAATTTTTTAATTAAGTGTATAGATCTCTTTTCCATTTATAGCATTAAGTAAGAGGTATGTATGACTGTAAGAAAGAAATTTCTTTATAGACATTTGAGGTTTTCACAGTGGTGAAGATGCCAATGCTGTTCTTTTGAAGCAACATCTTCATCTATCTTCAGCTCTGAAGCTAGAGGCAGTATGTTCCTTTGAAATATTATCTGCTTACCATTCTATATGGCATTACAAATCAGAAGACCAGTGTGAACGTTTGAGAATATGTCGAGCAATGCAATCTCATTTTGAATGGGCTATAAACAGTGGTAAGGGAAACATTACATAACATTTTAATCTTTCTTTCTTTTCTTCCTTTCTTCATAATGTCTTTCTTGTTGAATGTGTTGTGACTAACAACTCTGTTGGTGTGGGTGTAGGCTCTTCTCAGGCTTCTTCTCCTGTGCATCCCAAACCGAATCAACTGGAGCTGTTTCCTTCCACAGGCAGTGCGCCACGCTCTTCTAATGGTAACTCACATTACTTCCCACCTCTACAAATTAATATATTTATTTGACCATTGAGTGCTTTGCACTTGTGTTGTAGTGCACCCGTTTCAGTGCCACCGGTTTTATTCATTACTGTGGAAGTGTTTGACACGTACATCTCATCACATAACTATACGGCTTAGACCAATCAGGTACCCATTTAACATAATCTGCCATCTGTGGAAGATTTTAAGATGCTAGTAACCCAGTAAAACTTCTCTATCTCATTGGAAGGACATCCTTCATGTATGAAAATTAGGCTTGTCAGTTTGCAATGGTAATCATAGGTGACATAAATAGTGACAGTAATAGTAATGGTGGTAATGAAGATGTGTACAAGCCTTCTTAATCAGATAGAGTAATAAAAAACTGACAAAATAGCACAAAAAATACTCAGCTCAGGGTATCAGAGAAACTTGTAAAATGTAGCACTTAAAAAGGATTTTTTAGAAACATGAAGTGCATAAGTGAAAGCTGGTAATAACACAGCTTTAAAAAATTTATAACCTTTCCCAGATTAAAAGCTTTTGGGCTAAAGGGTTAGAAAAAAGGTTAAAGGAAATATATGAAGCAAGAAGGAAAGAGCTCTTTATTTTCTGTGAGCCCCAAAACGTATATGGTATGCCAAAATGTACTTTCTTTAGTGTAGTTGTTCTTATGTTGTTTGGTGCATTTGACTGTTATGTTCTTGCTTTTCTACTGTGTGGTAGAGTGCAGAGTTAACACTGAGAAAAATATTTTCATTCAGCTCTGATTTGCAACTCATTACAGACTGGTACAGATCATTGCAGAGCATGAAGTGAAGGAGAATAATTGTAAATACTGAGTTTTATGTGAAGGAACTGAAAGTCGCTCTCTTTGGTAAAATAATATACACACCTGCCTTGTACATCATATTGAAGAATGATTAGCAGCATCCAAATTGACAACCCGTAATACAGGAAATAATCCAACATAGTAACACTAGTACTAAAGATGAAACTTTATATTGACTTAAAGTGTGTTTCTTGTACTTCACTATTAATGAGTTTGAAGCATTTATACACACACACATAGGAGTATTACACCTTTCTAGCCAATCAATTTGGTGTGGTACTCATCATCCATACAGTGCACATGGTATTATTCTATGTATAGCACTGCATAAGTAGATTCTTTTATTTGCGGATGAGTAACAACCACAAATGCCACTTGATTTAAAAAAAAATTTATGAAATTTAATTTTGTGTTCCGTAGGTTTTAATACTTGTTTACAGGAGCATCATGAATCGAATAAATAGTCTTTAATTAAGTAATAAATATTTATTTTTAAATCCTTGTAGGTAAATATTTGCCCCATGTATTTCTCATTCGCAATGGACTAGAACAAGGAGATGCTTTGTCACATTTGTTTTCATCTTTACTTTAGAATAGACAATTATGAGAGTGCAAAAGGAAATTGGAGGGATTAGAATTGAATGGAATGTCTCAGCTTCTGGTCCATCCATATGTTAATTTATTGTTTGAAGATATAAGTACCAAAAATAAAACAGAAAACTGAGTGTATGTTTATGACTCATCACCAGGAGAGTATCATAATGTAAAGAAAGTAATAAATATTTTGAAAATGTGTCTGAGTTCAAACATTTGAATCAGTAGTACTAAATTGTGAATAAGTAAAGAGAAGGTTAAATGCAGGTAATGTATAGACTTGAAAGTTCATCAAACACTCTCTTCACTTCATATTTTCTGACCAAAATGGATGAATTTAACTCTCCCATGCATGTTTATGCCATGCTCACCCCATCTTCCTTCATTTGGTCACCATAACAGTATTCTGTGATGAATACATATTTTAAAGCTCCTCATTATGTAATTTTCTCCAACCTACTGTTACTTCCTCCCTCATAGGTTCATATGTTTGTCTCAGCACTCCAGGTCTCACACAGCTGGATTCTGTGTTTTTCCCACGGGATAAGAGAAGAAGTTTTATCCATACAAAGCAACTCAAATTAGAGTTTCACATATTTCAATTTTTATGGTTACAGATAGGAGAGGAGAGCAGAAAATATTCTGAACTGAATTGTAGCTGGCATTCCCAAAATGTTTTATCAGTATTCCCAGATATGTTAAATTTAAAATTTATAATGAAAGGATTATTTGGTCATGTGATCTAATGTTGTAATTGAAACTGATATTTTAAGAATAATTTTTTTAAGCTGCTTTACATTCAATGTTGTGAAGATATTTTACTTTAAAACTAAAGAAGCTCTCCTCTGTCTCCAAGGTACAAAACAGTGAATGGTGATGGATATTTTGTATGTGTTAGTTTTGTTTCCATTGTTTGTATGTTGTAGCTTATTTTCTAAAACTTTGAACTTGAACTATGAAGATGGTTCTCAAAACCCAAGAAGACTTTATTATAATTAGTTGCTGTGAAAACTTCAGATCATTCATACATCACTTAGAAGTTACAGTGTGAATTCCTGAAAAAGTGGCTAAGAGCAACTTCTTTCTCATAAAATACAAGTCAGAGTACTCAACAAAAATTTGACAGTTGCTTTTCATTACCTGTTAAAAAATTGTTGGTTGCCTCTCAGCGGGTTTAAGTATTTCTTTTGTAGAACTTAAAATGAGTTGCTCAGTTGATTTTTTGAACAGTCTTAATTGTCTGAAACTTGAGAGCTATTGCTTTCAGGTATATGCATATGCAGTAGTTTCATGAAATTTTCATTCTGTGTAGTTGTGTTATTTATTATACTTTTAAGCCTGAGGAGACATCAGTGATATAATTTGCAAAAAACTATTTTCAGTACAAAGTGAGTGGACTAGGGTATAAAATTGTTGGTAATTTTCCCCCCCCTCCCCAATTAATAAATTTTATTATTCCTTTCAATCTCTTGTTCCACCACTTTAAAGTTTAAAACTAGTGTAATATTATTATATGAAAACGTTGATGTAGTCATTATTCACATAGATTCCACATTTTTGGCACATGTCATGGTGCAGGTCATCCATTTCTAAGTTTTGATCTATGTTATGACTGGAGCCCCACAAGGGAAATGTAGGATTAGCATGTTTGTTGAAATTGACTACCACACACACACACACACTTTTTACACAATATAATCATTGCTGTCATTGACCTGTGAAACCAATATAAATGTTTAAAAATATTGAATGTTTTCAACTTATTAGGAAATAAAATTACACACTCTGGGATATGTAACTTCTTTTTATCTGAATGTAATATTTTTAAGCTTCTTCCCATTGCAATTATATACATAAAATTACCAACTCACCACATTAACTTCCTGAAATTTTTGTAACTTAGAAACAGATAAAATTATTGCCTGTGACATACATAATTGTGTTCTAACTTCATGCATCATTTGTTGCAGTACGCACCACGTGTGCAGGAGCTGTGCATATAGAATAATAACATTGCTGTCGGTGCATAAAAGGGAACATTATAAATTCTGATTTTCTGTACAGGAATTTTGAGCATTGCTTTGTGTTGTTATTACTTCCAAATGTGCAGCATTTCAGCTTCAGTTAAATAGGCTATTGTGGGATTTATTTATTTATTATGTCATTTTATTAGCAGTTATGTTGCAGATTGATTAATTCTTAGTTTATTTCATTAGCTCAGATTATAAAGTGTAAATTTATAGACTGAATAGTGAAAGATCAAATTGAAAAGGATGTGGAAGGATGCAGTTATGGCCTAATTTCAGGAACTATTCAGGCATTTGCATGGAAGGATTGTGGAATTCCATAGATCTGTCAGGATAGCTTGTCTTAAGGCCATGACTTGAACCTAGGACCTTTTGTATATGGAACAGATGTTCTAACCGTTCAACTGCAGTGTTTGGTAATTTATTTTATGAATTATTAATTTAGTAGGTTGTGGAAAGAACTGGTTAGTGCTCATTCTGAGGTAATATTTCATCATTTGTCTGACATGACTGGGGAAAATCAGTTGTCATATGGATCAATATCCAAACTGGAACATCGTGTCTAAAGACCAAACTTTTTAACCACTCAACTATAACATTTAGTCCTAGACGAAGGTAATAATACTAATGTTGAAAGTGTTTGCCATACTCACTGTCTGGCATTTATGCACAAAGGAAAATGCTAGAAATTGCACCAGAAACTAGCAGTAAAAACACAATAATAAAAATACATGTGAGAGTTTTGTTTAAAAAAATAATGAGCATTCTCACTATATATCTAGTATGCATTACAATGAGAAATTAATTATTCCTTTATTTGACTGTATTAAATTAATAGTTTACATAGTAGGTTTCATTATAATGATGTTTTGATTATGCATGACCCTTACAATACCAGACTTTCACTTTATGTAATAGTACTTTTTTCATATTTCACCACCGGTTTAATAACATAAAATTATACGTAACAATTACAGTTGTACCTATGTAAGAAACTAGATCTTAGTTAATTATATTCCAACTTTAATATGATGGAGTAAATATTTCGGCACACATTTTAGGGGGTGGGATAAGAAACTATAACTTACGAACACAGTGTGTGATGTTTTCATCATATAATTTGTGTTATTCTTGTAACACTGTGTTTCTCATGCTCTCCTTGTGTGTTTCACATAGCATCTCCTTTGCCGTCACCAATGAGATCTCCTGCTAGGACCCCTATGACAAAGGGTCCGTCTTGCACAGCCCTCTATGACTTTGAGCCTGAAAATCCTGGTGAACTTGGTTTTAAGGTATGCATCACTACCTGCAAAATTCTATTAACATGCAGATTTTTATATGTACAAATATGTTTTTTATATTAAGAGCATTACTAATAATACTCATATGTTAGAAAGAGGAAATAACTAGTTCAGAGTTTTTGACATAATGTAATTTATTAAACTCAAGTAAATATAAGAATGTTATTCTTATTGCAGCTTCTTTTATTCTTCCTGTTACGTTAAGAATTTTTATTTACTTTGGTGTTTAAAAAGGAAGTGCCAGTTAGCTGCACTTTTGTGAACACTTGGAAGAATCACTGATATGTACAACAGTTTAATGTAGAATTTTATTTAAAGTAAAACTTGTTGTTATGCCTAATTTAGATTCCAAAAGCTCAGATAAATTTAGACAAATCTCAAATATATTACGTAAAAGTATTAATTCATTGATGGTGAGTATGGTGTATTCATAGATACTTCATGCATAGACAGACATGGAAAAAACAGGCATTTTTGCTTTGTTATGAAATATACCAAAAATAGAAGAACAGTTTATTTACGATTTTATGGTATTTACTGGGCACTGAAAAAAAGTATAAGTGAGTGCTAAGTGATGTTGCTGCAGCACTTAACACAGACACTTGCTGAGTTTATGTTAATAGAAATAATGTGATCTACAGTGACAATGTATAAAAATTACCTACAAGTCTTACTTTTGCAGGAAGGTGACACCATTACACTGATAAATAAGATTGATGATAACTGGTATGAAGGCAGCGTTCACGGTCGCACAGGTTACTTTCCGGTTACATATGTGCAAGTTGTGGTACCTCTGCCTTGATCTGCAACACCGTCGTCCATGTCAGCACCTTGCAGTGGTAACTAGCTCTCGTCTTCTCTCATCTCTGTCTGTTTTATGACTACATTCTTGTTAGAATGTCCATGCTATACTGCAGCCTTCTGTTTGTCATAGTCTGATTTAATTAAATACTGTCATGTCGGTGACATCATCTTTAGCACCTGCTTCTTTTGGTTTGTAGTAGACATTATAGGATAAAATCTTCTTGGGTGACCAGTCATATCAATTTATAACAGAAGTTTAGCACTGCAGAGACAGTTTGTAACATCAGGCAATTTTTTGACGAGTAGCTAATGTTGGCTGATATATGTACATTACAGATCTGTTGAGGCTTCACCTTTAGGGACCCACACTAACCCTTGCAAGAGTAATAGGTGCATTTAAATTGACATGGCTGATAACCTGAGAAGATATTATCATCTTTAGTTGTGTGAAAATCTCAAGTCTCACATTACATTAAAATTATTATGCATATTTTTACATGTTCTGTTATGAAATTATAATAAATTGAGTATCATCTACCAGGATTTACTGTAGTGATACTTGGCATTGTCTTTTGCTTGAACTTCATAATTATCAGTTTCATTATTTCTCTTTTAATAGCTTTAAGGGAAATGTTTTACCAATTTTGTATCTTCATTTAAAGTGTCTTCTTTAAGTAGCAGTTGTGGAACTTCTGTGATAATTTTAATTTGTTATAGTGTAATTTAGATCTCAGACTGGCATATGCAAAAAATAAAGACAAATAATATTTACAAGAGACAGTGAAATTCAGAATTACATTTTACAAAATTGTATTGTTTATGCAGGTACCGTGAAGTAAAAATATGTTGCAGTTCAGAAGGCTGTGTGTATGCATTAATTCATCTTGGTGTCTTTCAAATTATAATTTGCCTTATACTTTCTTTTAGTGTTAAAAATCAATTAATTGTATGGTTAAGCAGGTTACTACTGTAACAGTAATGTTGTAAATATGTTTTAAATGAGTTTAGTGATGAAAGTAAAATTATGTACATTTGCCGTGATGTTTGCACAGAAAGCAAGATAGTTGAAAAAAAGAGTGTGGTGTTGTGATTTTCATTTCTTGATTTAAAATAATGAATTTGTTGAATTGGGATAGAAATAGAATTTTTATCATTAAAAGAAAATCAGTAAGAGAAGATGAAGTAACAGATATAAATTTACTGTTTTTGATTTCTCCTCTTGCATGAGGTAACGTTGCCGTCATTATTAAACAAATTGCAATAACAGATTGAGATAAATGCTTTGTGAAAAAGGCAAAAAGTACAGTAATAATGAATTAGCAAATTATACATAATTATAGTACAGATTTATTATAAGAGATTGTAGGTCTATACATACGATCATGTTTATGAGATGAACTGTTCCTCTTTAATAGACATAGTAATGTGTATTACTCAGTAAGAAAATAAATCTTGCCTCTGCCATTGATGATATTTTAAAGAATATACTCGAAGCCAGAAAGTGAATTGTTATGGAAGCTTCTGTTATATGAGAGGTTCAAGATGGTTGCACTAGGCATGTGTGCATATGTGAGGTATGTCCTGTTGACACACTGATTGTAAAACTTCTTTCTCCCAATTCTTGTCAACTCTTACATAATTTCAGAAGCTTTCCTGTCAAGGTAGAAGTTATGTCTCAGTTGAAAATAAATTTTAGCTCAAAATTAAAACCATTCTTTATTAGAAAAACATTCTTCTGTAAATGCAGTGATGTATACATTGTTGTTTATATTTGTAAGTAGACAGATCAGATGAATTGAACTTAACCTTTATTAATCGTAGTCACTGTTTACACGCGATTTAGCTGGTCATGCATTGTTCTAGCATACTGCTAAACTATTAAATCCCATAGTCAAAGTCTGGCTGCAAACTTATTTCAGGGGTTTAAATCTCCTATTCCCATACAATGAAGGTAAAAATGTATTGCATATTGGACATTTTGTACTGTCTTTACTACCACAGAATGGACATGCAAATAAGCAATATCTTTGATTTAGTGTTTTATATGAAACTATTTGTGATACTTTTTCTGTGCTTGTTTGCTTTAGTTTATAATGCAAAATTATTATTCTGAGGAGCCTCTGTTATAATTGTATTCTGAGCAAGTTTTCTAAATCATAATAATATGTGCCATAATAAACTTCCTTTGTGCTCTGAAGGTTCTAACTTGCTTTGTATCTGATAGCGCATGGGACTATGTAGCATTTATTCTTTTTGTCATTTATATAATGTTATTCCTTGTTGTTTCTTTTCTGTACAAATTACATTTTCTTTAATTAAAACAGAGTCATTGTGCTTTGTAACACAGTGCTGCTTGCATGAAAATCATTGTCCATATCCATCTAAGGAGATAATGATGAGTAACACATTTAATGAAAATCAGCAAGTACATTTAAAGAAGGGGTATAATAAATGTAGTAAAGGAATTTACAAATATAAAAAGGATAGTTGTATTTTGTTACAATCTGGCAGGACGTTTATCAAAAGCAAGGGCCTTTCAGCATTCAGATAAAGAAAAGTTGATTGGTAAAGTATACTTACAGTTTTTAGTTTCAAAAATTTGTTCATTTAAATGTTATTATCAGTAATTGTAAACTGATCTCCCTTCAAAAAATCATACTGATATGTTATCAGTGAAAACATTATTGTTCTCATAAAGTCATTTTCATTTTATGCAGAAATAGTAGTTTTGTCATGTTTGTTTTACACACTTTTTACTTTAATACTGCGAAGATCAAGAATTTAAAAAATATTTTGATACATCACAAAACAAGAGACTTGGAAGTACTTTTGTAAGTACTTGGAAGATGACAGGCAAATTTAGCATGTAAGTGCACTTTTTAAGATGTGTAATTGTAGAAAAAGAATCAACTTTTGGGGGAAGATTACTTTAGAAGAAAACCATCACAACAACTAACTATTTTTCATTTCACTTCTTGTCCTTCAGTAAGAAATATTCCAATTTGTGTACTGTCACTGTGACCTAGCTGTGCCCTATTCATTTGCTTTTATCATAAGTTTCTACTTAATCTCTTCCATAAATGATAGTATTTCAACCATAATGCCCAGAAATAGTCGACAGTTCTTAATTATTCTTGTTTTGTACAAAAAATAAGGAGTGTTGATTTCAAAAATAACAATAATTTTTTTCTAATTGAATACACTGGAGAAAGAAGAAAGAAATCATGTGTTTGTAAAATCATGTTGCATTGAAACTGTATTTCAACAATTACAAACTGTGTTCATGAAATATTCCATGTCTCCCTCTCTCTCCTGCTGCTTGTTGTCTCAGTGTTGAAGCTGCTTGCCTTGAATGAATGGCTTACTAAAGGTTGAACATTGCTGAAAGGGTAGTGACGTTTTCCATACCTAGCGTCTTCGGTATCACCACTTGGCTTGACTGTTATTTCAGTGTGATTATATGCAGGCATCTGAAATGAAGGTTAACCACTTCAATTTAGAATCTCCAATGTGCCTCTCTACGTATCTGCCTGTAATGTAACCTCACCTTACCGCTATTGATTTTGTCATTCTTCCAGAAATGAGTACTGATATATAATTTTACATAATTTTAGAAAGCATCTTAAAAATGCCATAAAGCACACAAAGGAAAATTAATGTAAACGAAACGACAAGGTCAGAGGCAGCACGTGAAAGATGAAGACAGTTGTGATCTTTGTAATTTCAAGCAGTGATGATACTGAACTGCTATGCTCTAAGGAGTTGCCCTCTGTGTCATCTGTGCTATTGTCCAGTATTGTAACCGTTTTAAACATTGCCCTTGCACATTTTTATGTGTTCCTTGTTCTCTGTCCTGTCCAGTGCCATGTCTCAACATTAGGAATTAAACTGGAAGAAGAAAACATTTTTCATACATCCACATCCGTAAACCTTACTAATTACAATGAGACTTACATTGATTTATCTGAATATAGACTGTTTTTTTGCCTTTTTTTTATATCAACCCTCACTTCCAGTTTAATTTCCTAATTTCCTTGAGTGGCCTCGCCATTCCACTGAAAGGAGAGAAGCAAAGTGTAACCATGGGGGCTGGTTCTATAGCTCTGTGTGTTTTGACAATATTGGGAAGATCAGACAATATATTTAAAAAAAAATCTTGATATTGTGGATGGCTGTTATTTTTAAGATAAAAAGTGTAATATTTTTATTAATGTTGTTTGTCCTTCATGGCTTTCAGTATAGTGATATTACTTTGTAACCATTACATTTAGCTCTATCTGATTTGGATTTAGTGCAACCTAATTTACACACCTCAGACAACATACAGAAATACCCAGTATTTATAAAAGAAAGTTTAATTTTTAATATCACAAAGAAACAGATTTTCAAGTTATATGAGAAATTGAGGAGCCAAAGGTTTTATGTACATTCCAGAATAAGGTATTACAGGTACTGAAAATACTGGAAAATGATCCAGTATTTATATTATCAAGAATGTTTGCTTGTTTGTGCTTTGAACAGTTGTTTCTTTTCACAGAATTGTAATAATAACATCACAGTTCTATTGTAATCAAGTTTTTAACATACCAGTGTAATGAATTCACAGTATGGATAAAATTCGCACAGTAAAATCCACAATGTGAACAAAAATAATTTGTAATGTGGACAAATTCTGGTTATGATTCCATTTAATGTTTTGCATTTTGTTTTCCAAATGCATGACTTACCAGTTTTCTTACAAAATATTACTTTAGTTCATATTTTCCTTCCTTTTATAACTACAGGATGCAGTTTATCATTGTGAGGTGTCTAAATTACAGTTGACCCGTAGGCTAGCAAATTTCACTTAAAACACTATGAACGAATGGTGAAATTGTCACCATTAATTTAAAAGTCTGTTACATTAATGACTTCTTAGAATTCTTTTTAAGTTTTAATCCCAGTGCAAGTTGTACCGTCTGGTAAAACTGACATTTCTTAATGTAGTGTTGTTCATGTGTCTTTGTATTGTATATGACAGGAAGGTTCTGTCTCAAAAACAAAGTAATATATTATAGCTAGTAATACTTCTTGCAAGTTTAACTGAAACACATTATCAGTTGTAACATTTTTTCAGTCTTCATCTGCATGATTATGATGTTACTCATTGCAAGCAATTTCCATTCTTGAGAAAGAAATTTGAAGTAACTAAAAGCAATACATGTGTCAAATTGATAAAAATCATTCCAGATACTTAAATCAATGTCTTGTATTGTTATCAATTATAGATATTACTTACAAGTTGACTGGGCTTCGGTGAACGTTTACATTGCGTGACTAGCATACAATGGCTAATAAAAAATTATTATATAATGTCAAGGAAAGGTGATTGCAAGACAGTTTAAATTTGTGCATTATTTAAATTATGTAGGGCACATGTTCGTATATCCTACGAATTTAATCAGTGTTACCTTTATATTCCAAGAAGAAAACTAAGCTATAAATGATGTAAAATTTTATGAAAACAATTACGAATCAAAGTAATTAATTTTCTGCAATGCATATCTAAGTTATGTTTATATTCTTTTTAATTGAAGTATTTGTTATTGTCTTCAATATTCTGAAAGTCTCGTCAGTTTATAAACTTGTGCCATAATAGTTTGCATGTAATGGCCTTATTTATTCTATTTTTTTAAGTCCCTTTCTTTTTTTACTCCCTGCTTTATTAAGACTAAGGGAAAGTTTTTATTCCTACTAACTGCAAAAACATGTTAAAACATGTAGGAGGTTCAGTAGCCAATTTTCTATGTTTAAAAGTGTTGAAGGCTTAGAAGTACCATTTAATACAATGAAGGGATCATGTTAATGGTGCTTTCATTTGTGATTAATTTTGTAATCACCTTTTGCTGGTATCTTTACATTAAAATGTTTGAAAGTACTCATGGATGCAATCTAATTAAAACCAGCCCAATCATTTTGTACATGGAATCTGAAAGTCTGGCTTATACAGACAAATGTTGAATGTATTAATATAT